CCTCGCTTCTGTCAGTCTGCCCCAGGGCAGCTGTGGCTACAACTGTAGCTGCCTCCACCAGTGTATGAATGTGAGAGTGAATGAATAGTGGTATTGTAAAGCGCTTTGGGTGCCTAGAAAAGCGCTATATAAATCCAATCCATTATTATTATTTAACTAATTCAAAAGATATTTCAATATTTATTTATCCAAAACAAAACAAGTTTACTCTAAATTGTTGTTGTACAGTAAAAAAAATGTTCTTGTGTTTTCCATAAAGTGTATGTAAATATCTGGTTTCAACTGTGAATGTACTGCTGTGTTGAAACTCCTCTTGTTTTGCATACTGAACAACATACAAAGCATAATATATAAAATAACATCTACCTGAGTTTTTTCTTTGAAAGAAGCTTCTTATGTCCATTCTTGTATATCAGTGCATTACTGAAACTGATTTATTTAGCCGTGGAGGGTAACAACTGAAAATATGAAATAAACACACATGTAAGCTAAGACTCTCTAAAGAAACAGCATTGTTGTTGTTCCGCTTTTCATTTCGCCATTTGTTGATTCACTCGAAGAGAAAGTAACGTAAAATTGGTCAAGTGATCAGTCTGATATCAAGCTTTCGTGATTCACCGTCATATTTACATTATTTGTACAGTACGGATGATTTGCTTTGGTACCTGGTCGAACTTCAGTTCTCCTCTGTCTGCCTGGCTGCGCTTCTCTAACAGCGCACTCACGGGCAGCAGCTGCCCCCGCCCCCTCGCTTAGTGTCTGAGCTCGGATCATACCAATATTAGGGGGGATTTACGCACAGTCGTAAATTCCCACAGTGTGCACTATGTGCTTCGAATATTGTGTGTAGTTTTTGTTTTATACAGTTGTCAGCCAGGCATCTAACTATGAAAAAATTACACTCCAAAAGACCCCGGGCTTCTGACAAAACAACCCGGGCTTAAGCCCAGTAAGCCACCCCCCCCCCCTGCTCCGCCACTGCTTAAGGGGTGTTCAAATTCATAGGCTGTATCCTCCTGAGGACCCGGCCTTAGCGGTCCACATGGGCCGGGTAGGCCAGAAGTGAGCGGTTGTGAAATTGGACGGTCCAGCCTTCAGATTTGCGTCACCAGCTGTCTCGGTGGAGGTTAGCTGTCTGCTCCTTTCTATCTAAAATATAACAGGACACAGGAGTAAACTCTCGACCATCTCACACTTCTGTTTAATCAGTTTTCTGTTTGATGTTTATTTAGCTGTGTGAAAACTAGAACTTTAATCTCAGCAAACCGATTTACTCAGGAACAAATAAAACTTTGAAATAAAAAAGCAGCTACAACCCTGACTTCAGTTTCAAGATGGCTGGTGAAAAATAACAACTCGCTCATGCCCTAGTAGAAACTGAAGGACTTTTTGTACCAATTCTACATTGACCTAATGTTTAAGCCCCAGAGGAGACAGCTTGATGGTAATGAGACACATGAATCAAGAATGGAGACATTGATCAGTAAATCAATGGTTAATAAGTGTGCTGTAAAAAATGAAAGAGTGACCTAGGAGAGGCTAAAAGGTAAACAAAATGGCACTACTGGTGATTTATTTTCTCTGTTACTTGTTATTGAATCACCCACTGATGTATACTCTGAAAGTCTCCATGTGGTCAACAGCAGACACACATTATGCCCCATATCGTGGTCTAAATCAATCAGACACAGTCAGGGGCGGGGCCTCTCTGATTGGTCATGGTCCAGATATTCCCGTAGTCCTTCGTGTGTACGTTTGAAAGTGCAGGCAGATAGAGAGAGGCAAGTAGCTTGAATAAAGCGATATCGATTCATTAAATCCTGAATCGACTTTTAAATATAAACTTATTTTACCATAGACACCAGAATCTCAGGTTAAAGCTCATAAAACTATTTCAACAACCACCAAACAGTAAATGAGAGCAGGTACACGACCGAAATTCACTGAACCAGCAGCAAACTACGCTTCACATTTGATAAACATCACCATTAATTCCCTCTTACTTTTGCTGTTTGGCTTCCACCACGATAAAAATCACACTTCCTGTACAGCTCTCTCTCTCTGTGTACTTCAAGAACAGTTTCCCATCTCAAATCTGTTTTCTGCATTATTCATTCGCTTATTACCCATCAGTCTACCGTTGTTTACGGCGCTGTCGACCGCTGTTTTTTTTGTTTTGTTTTGTTTACTTAACCACGTCGGACAAGAAAGACTGATTTCTGCTGTTCAATACTGAAGACATTTAAACTTTTTAAAATTATGCAAAATGCAGAATATTTTTAAGTTTATCTGCTATAAAAAGCCAGGCCAGGAAAATCTGCTCCATGTTTTTCTGAGTTTTATCCTCCGTTACTTTAACACAAAGGCCTCTGCTGTGATGTTCACATCTCTGATAAAGTCTAGTGTCAGTACTGATCAATGATCAGTAGAAATCAGTGATGATACCCAGCCCTGGTGAGCAGCCTAGGCCTGAGAGGTGGATGTAGCTGT